TGCAGAGGCTTAATGCCTCAGAAGTGGTGAGGCCTTTCTAACTGCTATCACGGCCTCTAAGGTCAGGCAGAAAGCAGAGGATTAAGTTTTAAATCAGAGATTTTCAGAGAACATTCTGACTATAAGCAGCCTCTGCCTCTTTCTTCCCCATAAATGTTCATTCCCCAGTGTTTGATCCTGGTCACTTAAATAGACGGGCCTGAGTGTATGAGCGCCTGGGTGAGCTCTCTGCTGCCCGATGCGTCGACCACTGTTCTGTATGTTGATGATGCTAAGCTGATAACTTCAGCTGACACTCCTCTGGAGCATCCAGGTGGGACACCTAGAGCCACTTGCCTCCTGGACTCCACATGGAAGGCCCAAAGGTGTGTTCGACTCTATCTGTCTGCAACCAAGTGCAGCCAGTTTCCCACCCAGATCTGCATCTTCTCTGCATGTTCCCCACCTGAATGAACAGGTCCAACCCCAGCTCCTGAAACCAGAAACCTGGTCCTCACCCTTGATTCCTCCTTCCCCTCCCCCAGACTTGCCATCTGGTGGGTTTGTGTTGTAAATGTTCTTCGCATTCCCCCCTTTCTCTCCATTCCCAAGGCAACTGCTGGGGTGCAGGCTTTTTACTGGTTCTTATGGAGATTTCTGCTGCCACCTCCTAATGGGTCTCCTTGCTTCTCATAGGTCCCCCTGAAATCCGTTCTGTGTGTGGCAGCTAATGGGATCTTTCTACCAAGCAAGGCATCTCATGTCCTGGTCCTGCTAACAGGTCCTCAGAAGCTTCCTCCTTTTTTTAGGGCCAAGGCCAAGTCCCTCAGCATGGAATTAAAGGCCTCTCAGAATCTGGCCTACCCTTCACCACTTTTCCAACAGTGATTTACGCTCTATCCACACTGAACCGCTTATAGTTTGTCAAACTGCACAAGCATACATGTTCCCTTTGTTTAAATGTGCCATTCTCCTCTGTCAAACTGGAGAACTCCAAGCAATTTCCAAGTTTCGGCTCAGTCCCCATTTCCCCTGGGAGCCTTCTCAGCCAGTGTCAAATAGATGGCTCCCTCTACGCTTCTACTGCACCTGACGCCTTTCCCTTCTCCTGCTGCTATCACAAGATCCAGCCTGTCCATTCATTCATTCACTCGCTGCTTCTACAGAATTTACTGAGCTGGTGCCGGGGATAGAAAGGCCAGCTGAAGACACATGACTCCTGGCTCAATAGAAACGATGACTGTCCCTGTTTGCCTGCCTGTCTGACTCAATAAGCCTTTGTGAAATGATTGATGATCTTGTTTCCATGTGCCTCTGAGCCTTTGCCCTTGATGTTCCCTTGGCCCGGAACACTCTCTCCAGTCTGCATGGCTGGCTTCTTCTCGGTCAGATCATCTGGAGTCGCTTCGCCTCCTGCCCCTTCCCTCTCCAGCTCTTCATCCAGATTTACCCTCTCAATAGCGTTTATCACTGTTGAAAGAACCTTGCCAATTGGCTTGTCTGCCTCTTCTGACTCAAATGTAACCTTCTCAAGAGCCTGTTCTACTGCCCACGGAGTCTTGGGGACTAGTATGTGTCTGGTGCACGGGTGATAAATGAATGAGTGGATTTTGTAGATAAGAAAGCAGATGTAGAAAAAGGAAGGACTGGTTGTGAGCATGAAATTATTTAATTATAGATCCAATACCAAAAAAGCATGGGGATTTCAGATACAGAATGGAGGGTGGCAATTAAAAAACAATAACACAGCTACCCATATAGGAGGTGACCTAAGGAAAGTGGGAGAAAATGTGCTAATGTCACAGCAGGGAGTGGCCTGCTCTCTGAAGTGGAGAGATCTCCAAATAAAACTCCATTACTTCACTCTCTTGTTCATCACCTCTTTTCTGATCCTTTCCAGAATTTTTTAGGAAAATGTAGTTTAACAAATACTTAACTTTTAACAATTCTTTCAGCTTCATGTTAGGTTCCTTTTCTTCTATTAAGAGAAAATGAAATATCTTGGATTTAAAATGAACAACTGTAAGGTGTTGATATTTTAAGATAAATTTATTTTTCCTATCTGTCAACACTGCACTGATCCATATACATGAATAATATATATGTGTATATATATTCCTATAATATATATGCCTAAAAATGTCTGGGATTTATCTAATATTCATGATCCATATACATATATGAATAAATATATATTTCTATGCCATATATATGCTTAAAAAGATGTCTGAGTTTTATCTAATATTCATGAGAGTTATTTCTGACTGATAAAAATTTGATTTCCTTTGATATCCTGTGTTTTCCTGCATAGTTTTAATTTTTTACAATGTACATGTATTGTAGCAAGTGATTAAAAATTTTGAAAGCAGATATATCTAAATGTAATTGATAGTCAATTTTGGATGATAGGAATATTAAGATAACTTCTTTGTATTTTTTTTTTCTGAAAATTTTTCATTTTATTTTTATTTTTTTTCATTTCAAAGTGTAATTTTCTAACAGGAAAAATGTGAGTCAGAGTCAAAGTCAAGATTGAGTGAGTCCTGCGTCAAGGTGTCTTTTCAGCCAGGAGAGGCCCCAGCACTGACGGCTAACAGAAAGAATCCTGCAGCCAGGGCCGGGACCCAGGGGCCGGGGAGGTTATTGAAAGCTGGCCTCTCTGGCCTGCGGGCCCCGGCAGGACTCCGGCTTCCCCCAGGGGACAGCCCTTGGTTCCCGGGGGACCTGAGCAGGGAAGGGCTAAGCTCTCGCAGCTCCTACAGCGCCCTAGCCAGAGGCAGAGGTTTGGCCACCTTAGGGAACAACCGTCCAGCCCCTCCGGGGAGCCGAACACAAAATCAATGGTTCCAGGTTACAAACGAATGTGTGTAGCAGGAGGTACAGGAACATTAACTAAAGATTTTTTTAAAGAGGAAAACCTTTCGCGCCGGAAGAGCCACCAGAATGGGCCAAATTGAATATGACAGAAAAGGGAGGGTTGGGTGAAATGCTGGGGGATACATCCCAGCACTTATGCGGGGCCCTGGGCAGGGGACAGGGGCAGCCTTCCCTTCCCTAACCCTGAAGTCGCCCACTTGCGTGTCCATCTCTTCTCCCGACTGTGGCCTCCCTCTGCGGCCTGTGTCTAACGCGCTGTCAGTCCCTCCCCCACCGCCCAGCAGCGCGCCCGGCTCCCTCTAAGAGCTCGACCGTGCTGAACTGAACCGAGGCTGCTCCTAGCATCAGTCCCGTCCCCGGGATATGTCAGGAAAGCGAGAGAAACACATCCTACGCAGGAGGCAGGCGCTCTCTTGCTCCTTTGGGGAGACTATTGGGGGTTGAAGGCTCTACTTTGATCCTCGGGGAGCAGCGCAGCCAGCCAGCCCTCTGCACCGCTTTGCAAACCTCAGCCTTGGGGACAGCTGGAGATGTCCAAGGAGGCGGCAAGGTGCGTGCGCCTCTCTCACCAGGCCCGCGGATGCTGGTTGGTACCCAAGCAGGCACTGGGATCACTAGGGATGGAGCAAAGCCAGGGGTCGCGTGCGCGACGTGTTCCCATCTCAGAGCATCTCGGTCCTTCCAAGCCGCTGGACTCGCCTTGCCGTGCCACATCTGGCAAGTGGGAAGGCTCCCCGCTTCCAGACGCCGGGGTGGGGAGGAGCGCAGGGAGCAGGACTGCGGAAAGCGCCGGGCGCTAGCGAGAGGGCATCCCCGCGGGGCTGGCGCCGGCTCGCGCGCCCCG